CAAATATCCAGGAGATGCCTCGAGCCACCCGCTCCCAATTTTCACAGCGTACCAACTTCACTTGCCAGAAAATCAACTGTGACCTTCTGGGAAAGCCTTCAGCTTCTGATCTCCCTTCTGGGCCTCTTAACCCAGTCCCACAGCAAGTGATGTGGCGGGACCTCCCAGCTCCACCCTCACCAGCACCTTTTCACCTGGGGGCTCTAACCACCACCCTTATTACCCACAACAGTTTCAGGATAATTTTACAAAGTCAGTCCGCAAGCACTGGAGCAAAGGACACTCTGTGCCTCAAAGACAACAACCTCCTCCTGCAGCTCGGGGCGCTGAGAAAGCCTCTTCTGAGGGCAGGCTCTTTGGTACCTGATGAGTGAGATAAGGTTGCAGTCTTTCCCATAGCTCGGGAAGTTTCTATCCTCTACCCTTTGCAATAATTTAACTTGAGACTTGTCAGATTTGGCTGATTTCAGCCAAAGCAGCAGGGGAAAGCAGACATTCAAACGAACTTATCTTTCTTGAAAAACACATCATTTCCTTTAGAAGCAGGTCAAAGACTGTTTCAAGTGTTTCGGAAGCAAGCCTGGAACAGTCTGGGAAGACGGGATTTCTGGCAGAGATGGGGGCTCAGGAAAGCCAGAAATTCATGTTCTTCCTGCACAACTGTGGCTTTGCAGAATTGCAAGCATTAACAGTTAGCCCGACTGATTTAGCCCATGCTGTCATTGCTTGATACAATGGCTGCAGATGAGAATACAGCTACCTGAAGGGAACCCTTCCAAGTGGAAAAGAAAGGTATAAAAATAGCAAATGAGCGCTGTAGTTCTGGCACCGAGCAGTTCAATCAAAGCTCTTCTGTAGGCTGAAGTTCTGATTACTAATTACTTTCTTTATTTGATTTTGGGGAAGATTTTGCGAGCTCCTGAAATGAGTCAGCCAAGCAGGTAACACTGTGCAGGTCATGAAAGCACATGGGTTCTGCAGTCAGCTGTTCAGCGAGAACAGGGAAGCCACCTAGACCTGGCTTGAAGTATCTGGCAGGACCGATGTTTTATGTGCATACTTCTAGCTCCTCAGAGCACGCTACAGTCCACTTACTTTGCTCCTGACACCGAGCTGCTTTAGAACGAATGCTACCACTCAAGAGCTCCCCGCCTGGCTGGGCACAGACAACAGTGCTCAGAGTGCCACCTGGGTAACACCACCCTTCCTGGTCTGAAGGGCTGCTCCGAAATCCACATGCAGCCAACAGATCTCCCCCCTCAGTCCTCCTCTGCTTTTACAGCTCTGCACCACGGACCTTTCCCATTAAGATGTTTAGCAAGTTAACAGCCTGCTTGCCCATTAAGATGTTTAGCAAGTTAACAGCCTGCTTGGGAAGAGCTAATCCTGCCCTAGGGCAGGAGGCGTGGACTGGATAACTTCTCTTTGTAGCCCTAGTTCCATAAGAGATCACAGTACTTCCATCAGTTCTCCCCCAGGCCATTTCCCGATGATTTCCCTCTTGATTGAGATGAAAGCAGACAAAAAAAATTAAGCTAGAAATTATGCCTAAGTCTCTTGCACTTCATTGCGAACCATGATCAGGGCTGCTGCCTTTCCTTCTCCAGCTGTGTATAAAACTCACAGCCCAGAGGCTTTATCAGAAAAGCAGTTTGCAAACTAGCATTTGGGAAGCTGCTTTTAAAAGCACAGGCAGGTGCAAACTTCCAAGGGCCGGGGAAGCCTGGTTTCTGACTACCTACGGGGCTGCACACCCCTGCCAAAACGCAGACCCCAACCCGTTTGAACTGAAGCAGAGCGACCGCCCAGAGCATACGTGAGCACGGCACGTACGTCAGTTACCACTCACGGCTTGGGAGGGCAGAGACAGTTACTGCAGGCTGTGCCAAGGTGAGCTGTTCTCCCTCCTTCCCCGCAGGCTACCGCTAACCCGAGCTCAGCCAGCAAAACAAACGGTGCTGACGTGGGTGAGGAGGGCTTGCCTCAGGTCAACAGGATTAAGTCAAAGCAAACTTTTGCAGCAGCTTTGTACAACAGCCGATAAGGGGCACTGGCTGCAGGAGGAGCTGAGCCTTGCCAGATGTACCCAAAAGACAAATCAACCGCTCATTTCTGTGAGGCTGAATGCTGTGTATCACTTCGGGGACTGAGGAGGGTGATTTCAGAAGAGACCGTCAGATAAGCTTCAGTAGCACAGAAATGACTACAGCGCTGAACCTTCTTTGTGGCTACAAAGACTACTTGAACCACAGCAATACCAAGCAGCAGCCAGCTATCTAACAGCCAAGTCCTTCATTGCCTGCATTCTGGAAGACCTAGAAGTTTCAAGCATAGGACAAACTGATCTACAGACTACCCCACTCCACAGGGATCAGACAGGACCCAGAACTGCTGTGTGACTAGTAGAAGTACATCCCGTCAGCAGCACTGGAAACAGTGAAGCCTGTGCCGCTGGAAATGGCATCGCTGTGAATCGCTCCTGCCTTCTGCACTGTGTGTCTGTGAACCAGCAAGAGCACTTACCCGCAGGGCTCCTGGAAGTAGGTTGTGTCGGTGTGGCGATCCAGAGCCAGCTTGGTGTAGGCAGTGTCTCCCCGAGAGAAGTCGGAGGTAAAGTACCACATTCTACCGTAAATGGTCTCCCTGCAAGAGAGGCGGGCGATTACCACAAAGCGCTGCGGGGATCACTGTGGTGTTAAAGCAGATCCGCTCTTGCATTTGAGGTTACACCCCTCCATCCTATGTACAGAGTAAATTAGAGCAGAACAACGTAACAAAACTCACATTGTCAAGAGATGGTGCTTCTAATGCTTCCTTCTAGTATTCAATTTCTCTCTTTCCTCCTAAAAAGACTGATGGCAATGAGCCTCGCTTCCCCTCCACAAATACAGATCTTCTTTCCACACCAAACATCAGCCCCAGTGAAATCAAGGAAGCCGCTGAGTGACATGAGGAGTTGCCAGAGCGCAGCTAGCCCTTGGCTTGTACCCACCGCAGGGTTACCTAGTAATCCCATTTCTTGTTCTTGGGATCCTGCGTTTTCACCCACCTCCCCCCTGCAACATGCACGGAAGGGAACAGAGAGAAGGCAAGGACACGCAGTACTCAGGGGCTACAGGGTGAGGGTACCTGAAGAAAAAAGTTGGCTGGATATTCCTTGGAGCCCCTCATTTCTATTTGGAGTGACTATTCATTAAAAGAAATCCCTCCTCTTCCAATGGTCCAAGCAAGGCAAGTTAAACTGTTTCTGCAGCTTGGATAAAACTTGAAACTCAAACCCCGGCTTGCCATGCTGTTGGTGTGTTTTAAACAAACACAGAAAAAACATTTCCCAATATTTTTCTCTAGCGAGAGCTACAAATTGTTTTTGATCTCCCTGGCTCCCAGGGCCAGGGCTGCCCTCCTAACCTTTCAATTCATAACAGGAAATGTCTCTCCTTGCAAAGCTCTAGTCTTCCCAGACAGGCTGCTTCCTTCAGGCACTCCTCTCTGCGTGCAGTCCCACTATCACAAAAGTCATCATGTGCTCCCGAGGCAGCTCCATAACCTAGTGACTCCAGGCTCTCCCCTAAAAAGAGGTCAGATCCCACAGTGCAATACTCCATCTCCGTTCAAGCAGAGTGGCCAGAGGCTGTAGAAGACCCAGACCTTTTGTTTGCAAACCAGGCCACGCTGCACAATATATAGGGATAAGAGGGCAGCGCCTTTCCAAACAAGAAAATAACAGTCTACCCTTCAGAGCTCCTCTGCAAAGCTGTCAGTGGCCTTCCCAGGGCAGCCCTAGTTACCTGATTAAGCTGATCCTTTCCGCTAAGATTTCTGTGTCCTCTTTGGTGGGAGTGACATTCTCTACAAAAGCAATCCCATACAACAAGAAGTTTTGCAGGAACTCCTTCAGTCCCTCGTCCGTCTCCAGGAAACTCCGGCAGTCGACGGACGGGACCTGGGCTTGGCGGTAGATTTCTGCGTTCCAGAGAATCCGCGGGTGCATGACCTGCTGCTTCTGCCCCTCGTAGCTGTTCTTCACCAGCCACTCCAGCCCGTACCGCGTCACGTGCCCGTCCGGCCCTTTGACGGGGGAGAAGAGTCACAGTCACCGCAATCGCACTGAACAGCCCGAGAGCGCGGCCAGCGCAACCATCAGTCTAGGACAGTCCTCACCCTTTTAATTTTGTCTGGTGACAGGCTCTTTGCACCCTGATGCCACCCAAAATATTATCTGGTTAAGGCCACAAGTCCTAAAAAGCATTGTCGTTGCTGCAACAACTCCAAATTCAGAGCTAAGCATTTCAACTTTAGTGGTTTTGTTTTCTATTGACAGGACTCCAAGGAGAAGTAAAGCACTGGAGAGAAGCCCATAAATAAAGGGAAGCTACAACAAAAGGAAGAAAGCAGCTGGGAAGCTGAGGAGAAAGGACAGAAAATGTGAATTCTGATCAGGGATAACAGCTCAAATAGGACAGGGTAAGGAAAAGAAAACCAACCATTTCTTGACCAATCTGTTCACCACCTGCATTGCTGCTGTGTTCAAACAAACCAATAGAATACCCAGACACTGAAGATACACACATCTCTACCCAAAAAGGGCTGGGGGGGGGAGGAAAACCACGCACATTTCAGACTGAGGCGTGTTTACAGTAACAGCGTTGCTCAGAAGAGCAGTGTTTAAAATCTGCTTACAGCTAAATCTCTTCCCAAAACAGCTACTGATTTAGAGATAAGGCCGCCCTCTCCCAGCACACCTAAGGATGGGCTCCACCAACAAAGGTCCCTCCAAGCAGGGCCGGTGGCCCGTGAAACACGCAGGGT